CACACACACACACACACACACACACACACACGCACACACACACACATTTATTTCTGGGCCAGGGCTGGGCCACCACCATGCTCCCTCTTCAAGGAAACTCTTTTTACAGGATTTCCCTGTGTAGCTCTGGCTGGCCTGGACCACACAGAGTCCTGCCTCCCTGAGTGCTGGGATTAAAGTTGTGTGCTACCACAGTTCAGCCAATGTAACTCTTATAAGAGAAAGCATTTAAATTGAGGGCTTGCTACAGTTTCAGAGGTTTAGTCCATTATTGTCATGGTGGCAGCATGCAGGCAGATGTTGGAACAGTAGCTGAGAGCTACATCCTGACCCACAAGCAGAGACTCTGGGCTTGGCATGGGCTTATGAAACCTCAAAGCCACCCCTAGTGACACACTTTCTCCAACAAGGCCACACCTCCTAATCCTTCTAATCTTTTTAAAGAGCTCCACTCCCTGGTGACTAAACATTCAAAAATATGAGTGTATAGGTCCATTCTTATTCAATAGCAGAGCTCAAATCTTATCTTGCTGCTTCTGATATCCATTCTCCTTTTACTTTAACTCTCTCTAAACTAAAAGACTCTCTCAGTTGAAATAATTTGGAAATACACAATGAGCCAGGTATGGAGACACCCAACCTCACAGAAAGCTGAACACCAGTATGTTTGGAACAGGAAACCCTGAGAAATCCCTCAAACCTGAGCAGAGGGGAAGAGAGAGCCTCAGGGACAAGGTCACAGGACACCTCAAGCCCTCAGCTCAGCAGTGTACCCACACTGGCTCAAGCACCAGAAGCATACCTGTGGTCAGACTCTACCTCTCAGAGTGCTGCAGATATCAGCAGTGAGGAACACTCATGCTGGGTTTCTTTTACCGGACCTGTGGGCAACATGCACACATACTCTCGTGGTTCCCCAAGGCAAATTCCACTGTGATGAATGGTGCATGCATACAGAGTTGCTCTACTATAGGATATGTATTAATTTACAGAGCATAGCCCCATTCTCCAAATTTCATATGTGAATGCTGGAAAACATTACCTCAGGCTTGGTATCATTAATGTGATAGAACAGGTTTTCATGTACTTCTTGAATAATGCTATTCATTTCTTGTATAAATTGCCCATCCATGTCAATTTTCCCAATTGGTATATTGTTTTAATATTATTTCCCTTTTACTGAAAATAGATTCTTTTCTCATACAAATTTTCTTTCCTATTGCTAATTTATAAGTTTATTTTTACATATTAAGCATAGGAGTATTTTGTGTATTTAATAAAATATTTTCTTTAGGTTGTTAACCTTATTTTATTTTTAGAAGTTTATTTTATTATTTTATGTATATGAGTGGAACATTTTGCCTGCATTTATGTATGTGAAGTATGTGCATAACAGGTTCCCAAGGAAGTCAAAGAGGACATAGATCATCCAAGACTGGAGTTGCAGACTCTTGTGAGGGATCATGTGGGTGCTAGGATTTGAACCCAGGTCCCCTGGAAGAACCAGTATTCTTAACCACTGAACCATCTCTTTAGAAGAATATTTAGAAAAGCAACCTGATAGTGAAAGGTCCCATTATTACTGAGAGGTTATAGGAGTCCATGGTCTAAAATGTACTAGCTGTACTCAATAAAAACTGTAATAAAAACAAAAGCTGGATTTAATTGAGCACTAACTAGTAACATGTGTGCTTCTGAACCCTTCCAACAAATACCAGTCATTTAACCTTCACAAAAACTCTAGTGATCATCATCATCACCCCTATTTTCCTGATGAGAAAAGCAAGGCACACAGAAGAGTGACAGCTAGTCCAAGGTCACACAACTAAACAGAGGTAAGGCCGCTACTTAAATCAAAACAGTCCAACTCCAGAACCTGCAATTTTTAATCAAACCGTGATTCAACTTCCAACCAAAGAGTATATAAGAATATTTCTCACACTACATTGGTTGAGCCCTGTGTCAAGGGTTCTCCTCTGACTGCCATACCAAACTTTCCTTGACCTTCACACAGAGTACACCATGGTCAAGAAAGTCGCAGTGATTGGAGCCGGCGTGAGTGGCCTGTCATCTCTCAAGTGCTGCTTGGATGAGGGCCTGGAACCCACCTGCTTTGAGAGAAGCAATGACTTCGGGGGACTATGGAAGTTTGGTGTGCGTAGTTCACATCTTCCTAGCTCAGCAATCATAATCCAGTCACATGCTTCTGCTTCCTTGTGGCAACATGAGCTTGCCTTGGTGATCAAAACAGCAGTTCCCTGCATCAAGCTAAATATGTGTGTGGTACCATGATAAACACGGTGCTAGATGTAGTCTGAGATATAAGTAGCCTTCAAAATGGGCAAGGCATGGACAAGGACATGGAAAAAGAGTGGAATATGATAATTTGATAATATCAACATAGTTTGTAAGTTTGTGATGAATTCTGGACTTGCACATTCTAAAGGTAGGAGAGTGTCACATCCTGCAAGCTGGACAGTCTTGGTGAATAAAGAGAGGACTACACACTTGTGAGGATGAAGCTGGAGAAAAGTAGTGGTCATCCAACTCCCAGACACTGTTCAGATCTTATGAAGGGCTCATTCATTCAACATGTACTTATCACATCCCTCTGCCAGGATGCAATGGTGCACAAAGCAGGCAGGGACCCCAACACCCTCCACATAGTCAAGAGGACAGAAACAGTAAAGAGGTCCTTGTCTTGTAGCACGAGAAGCTGTAAGATTCAGATCACCAGGGCTGTGGGGCCCCAACAGTTACTGTCTGCAAAAACCCTGAGTCCCAGAAGCCTCTAGGAGAAAGTGACAGGGAAAGAAGAAACTTGAAAGAGAAATGGAGATTGGCTTCAAACATGAAGTTTGTTGGTGCCTAGAATATAGATGCTTTTGTTGGTTTGTTTTTGAGTGACAGAGATCAAGACCAGAGAATGCATTAAGGAATACAGGGGGAAACATAGGTTCCTAGCACATGATGAGTCTTTCCTGGTGGTTGAGAAGGGAGGGAGGGAGGGAGGAAAGGCTAATGAGGGGGGCTGGGGTTTGTTCCTAAAAATAGAATCTTTGATATTTTTGATGGTAATGGAAAGAACATAATCAGTAAATATTCACAGAGTGTAATGAGGAAAACTATCAAGCAGTTCCCTAGAGAAAGGCAAGGAGAGAAATGTCTAGAGTGAGTGGAAGGAGTCACTACAACAGGTGAAGAAGGAACAGCCATTCAGGACTGACCATGAGCCTTACGTCTGTGGAATCATTTAAGGGCAATTTTGTGCTGTCATCAGCTTCTTTGTTTATGATGGGGCAAAGATACTGCACTTAATTATTCCAGTCCCAATAAGGATATCTTATCATGACAGCATGGGTACCCAATACTGGATATTCTAGAACTCTTAAAAATTATAAATAGAATGCTAATTGCTCTAACCCCCTTCAGCTAGACACCCATGAAGCATGAAGGCAACTAAGGTTCTCTTCCAATTTCTTCCTTCTTTCTTCCATACTAATCATACCTCCACTACAGGAAAATTCTAAGGATGGGATGACCAGGGTCTACAGGTCACTAGTAACAAATGTCTGCAAGGAAATGTCATGTTACAGTGACTTCCCATACCAAGAAGATTATCCCAATTTCATGGACCATGAGAAATTCTGGGAGTATCTCAGAGAATTTGTTGAGCACTTTGACCTCCTGAAATATATTCGGTTTAAGGTAAGATAGTTTGGGTTATGGAAAGTTCATGAATGGACCCTAGCCTAGTCAGTGATCCAATGGAAGTGAGATGATTAAGTAAATATTTCTTTCATTTTCATCTTGGTAAAAATAAGAGCTAATTTCCTCACTGTTCCTTACTCAAATCATTAAAATTAAAATTTAGAATTTCCTGATTCCTCCACTAAATGTCAAACTCTCTGTCTTAGGGTTTCTATTGCTGTGAAGAGACACCATGACCATGGCAACTCTTATAGAGGAAAACATTTCATTGGGGCTGGCTTATAGTTTCAGAGGTTTAGTCCATTATCATCTTAGTGGATCATGCAGGGAAATGGTGGCATGCAGACAGACGAGTGCTGTACATGGAGCTGAGAGTTTTACGTCTTGATCCACAGGCAGCAGGAGACTGTGTGTCATACTGAGCATAGTTTGAGCATATAAGACCTCAAAGCCTGCCTCTATGGTGACATACTCCCTCCAACAAGGCCACACCTACTCCAGCAAGGCCACACCCCCTATTATTGTCACTCCCTATGGCCCAAGCACTCAAACATGGGTCTATGGAGGCCATTGCTATTCAAACTACCATACTCTCATTTAGGAAAAAATTTAGAATTTTTCCTGAGAATAAAGTAAGAATAATTCTATCTATGAAACCCAATGGAAAGAAATAACTACAACTCTCAGCATAGAAAATATGGTGGAGGAGAGTTTGCTTTCCTGGCTTTTCCCAACCCATCAGGAATTATAATTCATTTCCTTCTCACCAAGAAAAGAATCCTGCTTTGTCATTTCAATTAAGGGATTCAGTTGTCCTAACTCCTTGTCCACGTAGGAGCACCTGTGAGAATATACATGTTAATTTCTCTAAGAATGAGATAACTGATATTTATAAACCTTGTTTATATCATCTGTGGACTACTTGAAATAGAAGATGGGTTGTTATACCAGTCACACTGTAAGAGTCAAAGGAAGTATTTGTCTTGTGCTTATAGACTACTGTGTGCAGTGTAACAAAACGACCAGACTTCTCCGAGACTGGCCAGTGGGATGTTGTCATAGAGACAGAGGGCAAACAGGACAGAGCCGTATTTGATGCTGTCATGGTTTGTACTGGGCAATTCCTGAACCCTCATTTACCTCTGGAGTCCTTCCCTGGTGAGTCAATTCTACCTTAGACTATCAATACTTTTTTGGGTTCTTCTAGAAGAAAAATGACTTGCTCAGAATTGAAAATACTTCTGCAGACTTATAGACAACCGTTATATTGCTTGGAAATCACATGTTGAAAATTACTTTGAATGGTAAAAACTACTGTTTTGGTGTGCAGTTTTACTATTTCTGTACTAATATAAATACTGTGGTTAAAGCCTTATCATACATGTCCACTTCAATACAACAATCAAATAAGACTTAAAGTGTCAGATCTGTCATTTTTTTAAAAAGGCTTTAATGCATGGGGTTGAGTTATAGGTCATTTGAATCAGGGATGGTCTCTGATTCAAAAACTTGAAGTAAAATAATACAGAAACTGGACAGGTAGTTTTTAAAGTAAACAAGCCAGAAATTATATATTTAAATTAATAAGTTCACTCTTTAAAATTGCCTATGACACCTCTCAGATCAGGGAGTTTGAAATCTCCTTTGAAAACAGTTCAGCACATTCTTTTTAACTTACTCATGATAGGCAAACCTTCATCTTTGAAGTCATAATTAGTTATTTAGAAATCTGATATCTGCTCAAATTCAGGTGTGACAAATAAAATTAGGGAAGTGAGGATTACTGCTCCTATTCTGTCAGTTCTTAGTGACCAAAGCAACGAGTAAGTAAAGTTTTTGTTTTTTTCTGTTGTTTCTTCATATGTGCATATGATCATGGTATTTGTTGTATGGCATATACACATGTATTCAGGTGCCCATGTGTAAACACACAAAGGGGAGAGGAGGATGTTGAGTGTCCTGGTCTATCACCTTCCACCTTATTCCTTTGAGATGGGGTCTCTCGCTGACCCTTCCACTAGGTTGATAGCCAGCAAGGCCCAGAAAACATCCTACCTTCAACTCCAACAGCATCTGGGTTCCAGGCATATGTGAGGACACATCCAGCTTTCTACAGATGTTGGGATCCAAACTCAAGTCATCATGGTTGCATAACAAGCCATCTCTCAGAAATCTTATAAAAATCAATCACAAATAAATAAACTATCCTATTCAAAACCTGTGTTTAGGAATATGAATTGAGTAAGAATTCAGCCCACAGTTTCTCAGGAAGAAGTATTCTAAACGGTGTCCAGGTTCAAACTCAGGAGTTGAACTCAGATAGATCATCAGGTTTGATGGCTTGTCCCTTAACCCACTGCACCCTCTAATGACTCCTCATCGAAGTTTTCATACATTTTCTTCTTTGATTGAATTTATTTCAGGCTATTTTTTGTAGCTACTATATATGGAATTGTTTTATTAATTTCTACATCTGATCCTTTTCCATCAATATATAGCAATAATGCTGAATTTTGTATGTTGGTTTAGTATCCTGCAATTTTGCTTAATTAGTTTTCTGGGGGGGTGGGGGAGTCTGTGGCATTTTCTGTATATAAAATCATCTTATGTGCAAACAACGAAAACTTCCTTCTTTCCAAACTGAATGCTCTTATCCTTTCTCCCTTGCTTTATCACTCTAGCTAGGAATTCCAGTAGTGCACTGAAATGCAGAAATTGCAGGCACCTGTGCTCTGTCCCAGATGTACGGGAATGCTTTCAGTTTTCTTCCTATTTGATATGATGTTACCCATGGGCTTATTTTACACGAACTGAATTATATTCATGTATATTCACAGTGTGCATACTACAGTGTCCATACAGAAATCAGAGGACAAATTGAAAAAGTCAGTTCTCTCCTTCCACCATTTGGTTTCTGTGACTCAAACCCAGGTTATCAGCTTATCTGCAGCTACCTTCACCCATCTTAAGCCATCTCTCTAGCCCTGATCAGGATTTTTAAGAAAGCAGTTGTAAGAGATCTGTACTTGGGCTCATTGACTTCCTGGAAGACTTGTTCTTCATGCTTTTCCTTGCTTAAGGAGTGATAAAAAACGATGTGCTTCTGTATCTCTGGGACTTCTCTACCATTGTGTACTGCAGAACTATAGCTTAAACATTTCAATTCATTTTTCCTTCCATTCCCTCAGGAATCCATAAGTTTAAAGGACAGGTCATACACAGCCAAGAGTACAGGATTCCAGACGCCTTTCAGGGCAAGCGCATCGTGGTGGTTGGTCTTGGGAACACTGGAGGAGACATCGCAGTGGAGCTCAGTAGAACAGCAGCTCAGGTACACTATTTCTAAATCAGTGTGTCCACTCTTAGCAGCATGGATAATGGCTACAGAGAAGTTGTCAAGACGATAAACACCTTCCCAATTGGCAAATTAAGCTGGCATGAAGTAAGTGAGGAAAATCCCCAAAGCCACTCTTGGTCTGCTATGTCAGGAGATACGCTTTATAGAACTTGACTATGTCCAAAAGACTCAAGAAAACTACATAAACACCTAATCACAGACATTGTTCGAAAGTGATTTTAAGGAATAGGACCAATTAGGCAAACTGTTCCACAGAAGGCAAAGCTCTCATTCATATCCTGTCTTCCTAGTTCCCTGTTTTTCTCCCTCCCTCTCTGCCTCCTTGTCTCCATCTCCCTATTCTGCACACATTAATCTCCTTCCATCTCCCCACAACTGTTTCTCACTTTTCTCTATTGAAATAGGATCTTACTATGTAACCTCATCAAGCCTTAATTCAACTCTTGCTTCAGACTCCCAAATTCTGGGATTACAAGCAACCAACACCTAGCCATCTTCCTTTTATATAAACTGTAATTCTATCAAAACCCCTTGTTAGAATCCAATGGTAAGGTTATTTGCCAAATGTTTCTGTATTAGTTAGGGTTTCTATTGCTATGAAGAGACACCATGACCACAGCAAACTCTCCTGGAAATCGCTCTGTAGACCAGGCTGGCCTTGAACTCACAGAGATCCATCTGCTTCTGCTTCCCAAGTGCTGGAATTAAAGGCATGCACCACCAACTCCCAGCAACCACAGCAAACTCTTATAAAGGAAAACATTTAATTGGGGTGGCTTACATTTTCATAGGTTTCTTTTATTATCCTGGGGGAGGGGGGGCATGGAAGCATGCAGGCAGACATGGTGCTGCAGAAGGAGCTAGGAGTTCAACATCTTGATCCACAGGAAACAGAAGGAGTCTGTGTCCATACTGGGTTTAGCTTGAGCATAGGAGACCTCAAAGCCCACCCCAACACTTCCTCCAAAAAGGCCATACATCCTAATAGTGTCACTCCCTATGGCTTATGAGGGCCAATTACATTCAAATTACCACAGAATCCAACTGTTGTGCTAGAAATCAGATCTGTTCTTGGTTTTAATATAAAAATCAATCTTCAATTTGTACATATACATGATTTTAGAAATTCTAAACAACTCACAAGTTAGAGATCGATTTCACATGTATATATTATAGGAAAATTATTAGATCTCAAAAGAAGAGATTTATAGTTAATTTGGTTACGATTGCTTTTCTAAATCTTTTAATTCTGTATTATTCATATGTTAAAAAATATTTCCAGACCAGAGCCTGAAGAGCTAGCTCAGTCATACAAATAAATGCTTGCTACAAAAGTGTGAGGATCAGAGTTCCATCCTCAGGGCCCACATAAAAAGCCAGCATGTGTGGGAAGCAGGTTCCTGGGGCTCACAGGATAGCCAGTCTAACCTAATAGGTGAGACCCAGGTGCAAGTGAGAGATACTGACTCAAAAAACAAAAACAAAACAAACAAACAAAAAAAAACAGGTATATGACTCTTAAGAAATGTCACCAGAGGTTGACCTCTGGTGTCTGCACTTATGTACACACATATTCACACATAACTGATCCCATGTATACCACAAACCCACATAGAATCACCAGACAAATACCTAAAAATATTACAATCCTATTTTCATAATTCTATAAATAATATAATGAAGAAGCTTAACATATACAAATAGTGATATGGTTTTAAGATAATTATAGCAAAACATATATGGTCACATGTACATCCATGTTAGAAAATCAGAATATGATTTGAAACACATCAAAGAAAAAATACTTCAAAGAATTGGACATGTGTTTTCCTTCTCGTTTTTCTTTTCAGGTGTTTCTCAGCACTAGAACCGGCACCTGGGTTATAAGCCGCTCTTCAGGTGGTGGCTACCCTTTCAATATGATGATTACAAGAAGATGGTGTAATTTTGTTGCACAAGTTCTGCCTTCATATTTTATAAACTGGGATAAAAAGCTGCATCTTAACCATGAGAATTATGGATTAAGAATTGCAAAAGGGTACTTAAGTTTTTATTTTATGTGAAATCTTCAGTTCATTTTCACTATTTTTACTAATATGTGTAAATTTCACATATTAGTGGAGTTCTATATGTGCATATAGCATCCACTATTCAGAGCCAACCTCCTTTTTTCTCCATCCTTCCTCTCCCTGATATCTTTCCCATCTCTAATAGTCACTATTCTGATCTTAGCTTCCACATATGGAAATGAAAGTTCAACACTTACCTTTTCTTGTTTTATGTATTTCGTGTAACATATTCTTTGAGCCTCTCAATTTTTCTGTAGCTGGAAGATTCCATTCTTCTTTAGGCTGAAAATAGTCCTGTGGGAGAGAGAGAGAGAGAGAGAGAGAGAGAGAGAGAGACAGACAGACACAGACACAGACACAGACACAGACACAGACACAGACACAGACACAGAGAGACAGAGAGAGAAACAAACAGAAACAGAAACAGAAACAGAAACAGAAACACAGAGAGACTTTTGTTCATGAATTTGTTCTTGAGCATTGAGGCTGACTATAACTTAGCTGATGTGAATAATGCCACTGTTAAAATGAGCATGCAGATAACTCTCTGGAATGCTGACTTTATTACTTTTGGATATATACCCAGAATTGAGATAGATAGATAGATCATATGATAGATCTAGTCTTAATTTGCTTGTTGTTTGGTTAGTTTTTCTTGTTGTTTTGGAACCTCTTTATGTTATTCTCCATATAGACTGGAGAATAATTGAATTCCCACTAAGGGTGCAAGTATTCCCTTTTCCCATATCTTCACCCACATTCTTTTTTGAAAAACAATAGCCATTCTAACTGGAGTGAGATAGCATCTTGTCAGTTTAATTTGGATTTTTGATGGGAAATTTTAAATCAACATTTCTCACTCTGTATTATTCAGAACTTTACATGTTCAACAACTACAACACTGTCTTTCCTATCATAAACTTATTTCCCTGAGACATTGTCAATAAAGTTCCACAGCAGTTCTTGAAGTAGGCATAGTCTCTGTCTGATAACAACAGTATATTAAGTTTATAATGCTAGAATAAAGTCAAGGATGAAAACTTTATTTCCAATTTGAAAGGAAATGTAATTTGACTTTGAGGCATCTTGAAACTGCTATCATCTATTAACACAATTTGTGCAGCATTAGTGAACACAGATGATTGACTCTCACTATATATGTGTAATAAATGGCTAGGCTGACTGTGATTAGAAATATGAATTCCTAACAGGAGTTCCTGAAATAATGCATCTGAACACACTACTCTATAGAATTATATATTAGGAAGAAAAAATTTTGAGCTTCATGCAATGTCATTAAATATGATTATAATATCTGCCTAACTCAAATATTCTTTAGCAACATCTATTTTAAAGTATAAGAAAAACAAGTGACAGATTATAATGTGACCTGTCATTTTTATAAAGACCATATATCTGATGTGATTGTATAATGATGAAAATAGCCATCTGTGTAAGTAGATTAATAGTTTTTACTTTTAGACAAATAGTTTGTTACTGATTTCCTCTTGTCCTATTATAACTTCTGGGGATCTGGATGATATGAAACCCCAAACTGATCATCAAATCACTAGTTGCATATTCCACCTTTACTCTAAGCATTTCTATGCTATGGGTATAACTTAGTGGTAAACTACTTGCCTGGCACATGTGAGGCCCTTGGTTCAATCTCCAAAGTAGAAAAGGGGAAAAAAGGAAAAAAAAATAAACAAAATCACTGCTCTAGAAGTGAATTACAATGGATAAAGTTATAAATAAAGTGCCAATGACATTGTTTGGGGGTAAAGTCACCTGCCACCAAGGCTGAGAACCTGAGTCCAGTCCCCAGAACACACAATAGAAAGAACCAGCCCCTGAAAAATTTTCTCCTCCTCCTCCTCCTC